CTGCAACTGTTGAAGCTTCTTGATTTGGAATGGCGAAGACTTCTGGCCACTTAGTGAAGTAATCCATCACAACCATGAAATACTTGTTACCGCTTTCACTCTCCGGAAACGGCCCCGCCACGTCAATGGCTATTCTCTCCCATGGTGCACCAACATTGTACAACTTCAATGCACCTCTACTACGAGTCTGAGGTCCCTTTACAGCCGCACAACTTGTACATTTGCGACACCAGTCCTCGACATCGTTTCGACAGTGGACCCAGTAAAACCGTTCTCGGATCTTCAGTAGAGTTCGTTTAACTCCCAGATGGCCTCCTGAACAATCATTATGGTACAGCTGTAGAACATCCGGTACTTTAACTTTAGGGACAACCATTTGCAAATGACAGCTGTCTCCCCGAACGTTTTCCCATTTACGACACAGAACTCCATCCTGAAGCAGCAAGCTGTCCCACTGGGCCCAATAGCTTTTAGTGGTCGAACTCATCGCTGAGACGTCACTCCACTTGGGCTTGGGAGCACTGGCCTTTATCCATTCCAGAATCGGCTTGATGTCCGGATCTTCCTGCTGTGCATGTAGTAAGCTGTCCTTCCACTCGTTGCTGAGGTGGTCTGCCCTGAGCATCCTCACGGATACCACTTCCCTTACTCTCTTGCCTAGTACAATGTTTGCAATCTTCGGGACAAGGTCTTCTTGACAATGCATCTGCGTTGCCATGAGATTTCCCGCTGCGATGTTCGATCTCAAAGTCGTATTCCTGCAGTAGTTCAATCCACCTCGCAACTTGTCCTTCTGGGTTTTTAAACTGCAATAGCCATTTTAGTGCAGCATGGTCAGTTCGTAAGTGAAATTTTCGTCCCAGAAGATATTTGCTAAAATGTTGCAACGACTTTACCACAGCTAGCAATTCGCGTCTTGTGACACAGTAGTTCCTTTCCGGTTTTGACAACGACTTGCTGAAGTACGCTATCACGACCTCTTGGTCACCATTACGTTGAGACAACACACCGCCAAGTCCTATATCACTTGCGTCTGTGTCAACTATAAATTCTTTGCTTGCATCAGGGTATCCCAAAATAGGTGTTTTGCACAGACGGTCCTTGAGCTCCTGGAATGCGATGTTACAACTTTCATCCCAGCAGAAATGTCGCTTCTCCTCGGTTAGCTTATGCAGAGGTTTGGCTATATCTGCAAAGTTCTTCACAAAACGTCGGTAATAGGAGCACAAACCCAAAAATGCTCTAACCTGCGTCTTGTCTTTTGGAACCGGCCAATCCTTTACAGCTGCGATTTTCTCTGGATCCGTGCGGATACCTTCTTCCGACACTACATACCCCAAAAAGTTGACTTGCCGTTTGAATAGTGAACATTTCTTCGGACTCAACTTAAGGTTGGCACTCTTAATCTTCATGAGCACGCGTTCCAGGTTTTGAAGGTGTTCCTCAAACGTACGGCCCACGATGATGATGTCATCCAAGTAGACCAGACAGGCATCGCCAATTAGCCCGGTAAGTACAAGTTCCATCAGCCTTTCAAACGTTGCTGGAGCATTGCACAACCCAAACGGCATTACTTTGAATTGCCACAGACCCTTTCCCGTCGAGAACGCAGTTTTCTCCTTGTCCTTAGGGTCAATTTCAACTTGCCAGTAGCCACTTTTTAGATCCAGCGTGCTAAACCATTTTACTCCTGTAAGCATGTCCAGCGTGTCATCAATTCTTGGCAAGGGATAGCTGTCCTTCTTTGTAATGTCGTTCAGACGGCGGTAATCAACACAGAACCGCATGCTGCCATCCTTCTTCTTTACCAGTACCACGGGTGAACACCATGGACTAGATGAAGGTTCAATAACACCATCCCTCACCATTCCCTCAATCATGGTTTCCACTTCCTTTTCACGTGCTACCGGCAATCGTCTTGGCCGCTGACGGATAGGCAACTCTTCACCTGTGTTTATTTTGTGTTGAACTAAACCAGTCTTTCCTATGTCAGCATCGTTTGATGAGAATACATCGGCGTACTCGAGTAACAACTTCTTCGCCTTCACCAATTCGTTCGGGGACAGAACACTGCGACAGTCTTCCAAAAGTGTGGTCACTCTCGTTTCTGAATCCTTGCTGGGGGTCCCACTCGATATATATTGGCACTGACGTAACCAATCCACTTCCTCACAAGTACCAACCAGTGTACCTTTTTCTATAACCTGTTCCCGGTCCCAAAGGTTCAGCACACGTACTCCTGAGATGTCAGTGGTCCTGACCAAGGTTCGAGCTACTTTCCATGGAAGGTCATTGTTTACCCTTTCCACAAGTACACAACGGTGAGCTTGCCCAGCGTTTCGTGGAAGACTAACCGGAACAATCGTTTCCGATCTCGGCGGAAGAACAATCTTCTTGATGCTGTACACGTTCCCTGGTAACGCACCTTCCATAAAAAGTTCCTCCTGTCCACATTTCAAAACACCTTGCTTAACGTCGATCTCACAACAATTATTCCTCATAAAGTCTAGGCCTAGGATGCAGTCGTCCATTATATCAGCCACGATGACATTATGCAGGTAGATCACGTTGCCTAGCTTCAACTCCATCTCCTTCTCTCCACGGACGGGTATACGCTGACCGGTGGCTGTTACCAAATTAATGCGTTCTCGGTGGTATGCGGAGTCCCCAAGGAACTGACTTATAAGTTGGGAACTAACAACCGTACGAGAGGCTCCAGTGTCTATGGTCAGCTTACACGGCATTCCGTTGATCTCGCCCTTTATGATTAGGCTGTTCCCATCATGGGTTTGTGAGATCGAGATCCTTGGGGCTCTTTTAACATCAGCCAGCACCCGCCCCGCAGTTCTGGCTTTTACTCGTTTCCCTGCCGCTGCTGGGCGGTGCTGTTGGCCGCACTACCCTCCTGAGATCGTTCAATTTCCCTTTCTAGGGTTCGCTTAGGGCAGCTGGATCGAAGATGGCCCTTTTCCCCACAGCCATAGCACCTTGGGCTGTATCCTTTGTTGCGGTCGCGAACTGTAGCTGCTGCAACCTCCCTGACGCGATGGGAACGATGATCCTGCCGCACGGCTTCCACTTCCAGTGCATGGGCCAAGGCGTCCTTAAGCGTCTCGTGGTGCCCGAGCCTCACAGCAGCTCTGACTTCCAGGTCGCGGATGCCGTCGATGAATGTCTGCACCAGGTTCCCTTCAATGAGCGCAGGTACAGACCGGTATGCTTTTCGCACCAGTTTCTCCACTTCTAGAGCCCACTGCTGCAGGTTTTCGTTGATGCGCTGCACACGATCTTTAAGCTGCGCACGAAAGACGTGTTCCAGGTGAGCGTCGCCATATCTCGCCTCCAATGCCTCAAGGAGTTGCTCATAAGTCAATTCCTCACCGAGAGCTTCCAGAACTGTTAAGGCCTGGTCGCGCAGGCCTAGTGTGAGAGCAGTCATGGCCTGACTTTTATTCCAGCCGTTCGCCTTCATAACAGCCTCGAACTGGATTTTGTAGGCTGACCAGGAAGAAGTCCCGTCAAACGGTGGCACTTTGAACCCACGTAGCGAAGGTGCTGAAGCTACTACGGGAGCTGTGGTTCCATCCCCAAGTTTGAGTTCATCCAGCGTTTTCTTAACTTGGTTGATTTGGGTCTCAGCTTCCGACAGGCGGTTATCATGTTGAGCAACCTTATCCTTCACCTCCCTTATCTCTTTCCCGAAGGTAGCGTGAAGGTCCTTCATGAGAAGCATCTGTTCTTCCTGGCCGCCCCGCAGCTGCTCTTCCAACCGACGGACCTGTTCCTCCTGTCGGCGAGCCTGTTCCTCCTGTCGGCGAGCCTGTTCCTCCTGTCGGCGAGCCTGTTCCTCCTGCTGCTCTCTTAACAGACGGGCCTGTTCCTCTCGTCCGCGCTGCAGCTGCTCCTGTAGCATCGCCATCAGAGCACCTAAGTCAGGTGCTGCAGGTGTAGGAGCTAATGACGGGCCCGCAGCCTCCGTGGCTGGCAGTTGGCCCTCCGACGTCTGTGGCGTTGCACCACCAAATCTCCTCTGGTCCGTCTCATGCTGGCGTTGACTGCGGGTACGGACACCCTCCGTTTCCTCCTTAGGTAAAATCGGCATGATTTTATCCCACTTCTGACACCAATTGTTACGAGCTTGAGGTTCGTGACAATAAAAATTGCCGATAAAATTACCTAAATTAACACTTTAATTTACTTTAAACAAATTAAAGTTAAAAACACTAATAATTAAACACACTAATTCACTTAATTTCGTTCCGAAGCTTCGCTTGTTTCGCCCAACTCAACACTACCTCCATCGCATCTTGCAGCGCCTATATATTTAAATTAGCAAAGAAATATCCAGAATGTTCAAGTAAACACGCGGAAAATACCGAGCGTTCGAGTTTCGACTAGGCGCTGTCAGTTGAGCGATTTGTGATGTCATTTTCTCAATGCTCCCCTCGCTCTCGTTCCTGACACTAGATGGCGCTAGTTGACTTATTCATGCAACAATATAATATGTGAAGGGTTCTTGTTTTTAAGCCTACCTCGCGTTTGTTGTTATGTCTCGCTAGGCACAAAGCCATGCGTGCTGTAAAGCATTGTAAAAATCACTTAAGTTATTAATAAGATCGTGAAAAAAATAATTTATGTGTATTTTCGCATAACTCGTTAAGTAAATCGTAACAAGGAAAGTATACTTCGGTGGTTTGATAATGTTACGGAAGTAAGTGGCAGAGTCAACAAGGAACGCTCTAGACGGAAGTTTATCGACCAAGTTGGCGATATATTGATGACGGGTGAAACCCTTAGCCGCCTAGCATGTATACGTACGTACGTATATGGGTGTAAAGGAGGCGAGGGAGGCGAGTCGGAGTTGTGGCAAATGTCAGTCCGTAGTCTCTGCCCACCTCTCACGAGTGACAGGGTTGAGTGTTGATGTTTATTTAAATCATTATATGCTATAGTTTCTAAATATTACGGTTTATAAATATTATTTTAAAATGAAAACTAACTTGGTTGCTGACTGTATTCCAATCTTCATCACTCATTCCCAATCTAATTTCGCTGATGTCTCCTTGTATTATAGATATCTTGTCCGCAAAATTTGGTTTCTCTTTGCGTAACTCATCGAATAACTGAAATAAAATGTCCTGGTGGGTTAAATAGCTATTTTCAATCGTCAGTTAAAAGTTATCCATCAAATAAATTATAACCTGACTGAATACAAAAGTGAAATAAGTGAACTATGTTTTGATACGGCCGTTGTTTAAATTGGTTCATGCGACTTCTTACATTTACGCGAACACTCCAAATAACGTGGGCCATTTTTTCAATCCTTAGATAAAATTTATGTATAGAATGAAATACAACATAAACAATTAAATGAAACTTATTTAACGGATTTAATCGCGTTTAATTCCGACTTTTTAATTTTGATTAAACAGGAAATTAAAAAGTCAGAAATAAACCCGAAAAAATCCATTTAATTAGTTTCATTTAATTGTTTATGTTATATTTCATTCTATACATAAATTTTATCTAAGGACTGATAAATTGGCCCACGTATCTATCGCTAAAAACAGAGTCATCCAAGCGATATAGTAAATAAATAAAATCCGCATACAGAAAGCAGTAATGAGTTCTTAAAGACCTACGTTCAGATGTAGACTTCTGATGCGTGATGATAATGAAAGGTAGATAACACAAAGTTTCCCCCATCACCTGAACGCAATTCAGCCAGATATATCTCTTAAGGTATATCTTTCTTTTTACCTCAAACTTTTATACGTGTTAGAGACACGCTGCACCTATATTATAGTTGTATCGGGTCGGCTCAACTGGGGCAGGATCACGCTCTCACAGAATACCAGCGTAAAATAGCAGCGTAATGCTGCTGTGTTTCGTATGGTGAGTGTAGAGATTTCATACGTGGTAGAGCCATGCTGCATTTATATTAGTAGTATAATTGTAGCTGTAATGGGTCAGCTCGACCGGGGAAGGACCACGTCCTCACAGAATACCAGCGTACAATAGTAGCTTAATGCTGCTGTGTTTCGTATGTTGAGTGTAGAGAACTGGAGACCATTTTTAATGGAAACGAGGCATTCCATCTTAGTCCTCACAGGTGACAACGCATCTGGATTTTGATTAATGTAGAGAGATTGGATAAATGTAGAGATCTATGGGCCACACCACTTACCATCAGGTGCACTGTGTGCTCGTTTGCACCCTATCCTATAAAAAAAGAGATACCGGAGACCCTTTTTACTGGAATCGAGGCATTCCATCTTAGTCTTCAGGGGTGACGAAGCATTTGCATATTGATTCTTAATTGAGGATAAATGTGAATGTCTATGGGCCATGGCATCCACATTCCATCAGGAGAACTGTGTGCTCGTTTGTCACCTAATGCTGTAAAAAAATAAAAAAGAAACAAGGAAAAAAGTCCGAACCCTGCACACATTTCAAGTTGTAAAAATACACTCACGTACACATATGCATCTAAAGTCGTTTGCAATCAACAACATGGCTTGGCAGTGAATTTTTATGAAAAAAAAGTAAGATGTATGCATGTATGCGTTTGGTTTCGCCATCACTTGAAATGAATACAGTGCTCCGTCTATCTTTCTTTGTTCTTTACTCACCGGATCTTTTAAGACTTCTACGAGTCTTTCATTCGGCCGTTTATCCTTTTTGCTTCTTATTAACACATACATTTTACTTAGTGTACAAGCTCTGAAAAAATCAATTGCAGGACTGAATTAAATGATATTTTTATTAAAAAGGCTATACCTCTAGAGCCGCATTTAAATTTGAATATATGAAAATAGAGGATAAAGTTGTTATTGTAATTATTTGTATTACACTTTTTGCATTTGATATTGCTTTATGTATCATCATCGTTACAGCCCTTTACAAGTCCACTGCTGAGAATAGGCCTCCCTCAAAGAATGCTACAAAGCACGATCCAGAGTCACCTGCATCTATCGACTTCCTGCACGTCTTACCAGGTCGTCACTCCATTTAGTGGGGGGCCGCACCACACTTCGCCTACGAGGGTTCTTCGGGCTATATTATTATACTAGCTGTTACCCGCGGCTTCGCCCGCATGGTCACTGGGAAATGAACTATCCATTGCTTTTTGAATTGAAAGAAAACGGAGTTTTATAGATTTGTCAGAGATGCAGCCATTAATCCAATATAATGCCTATATAATGTCTTCAGGATGCTGATGGGACTTCATGTGTTCTGCAGTGCATCTGGCATGTTTGCTGAAGCGGGGGTTGGATGATTTTCATGGCATCTTACGGAAGCGAATATCGTCCAGCTGGCGCAGATTCGGGGGAGGGGGGGGCTCAAACGGCGTCCTGAAGGTAGTTAAAGAGAGGCTTGATTGTCCCATTCAAGGGCATTGGACTCAAATGCATACGGGTGGAACACTTATGTATCTGAATTAATATTTTTTAAATTGTGAGTTATTTAATTTGATTTAATTTAATTTAATAACATAGCTTTTAAGAAATTTACTAACAAATTTGTATGGATTTTTTAATCTGAAATAAACGTTTTATATTACTATTGGGGGCTATAAATATAGTTTTCTCATCTGGTTGGGTTCTATAAATATATAATTATAAATCAAAATGAAAAGATAAATATACATAAATATCAATAACATAAAATAAATATAAAAATGCATATATAAATAAAAGCCCAACCAGATGGAGGCCCTCGGCAGGGGAGACCAAACGGCCGAGAGTTAGGGGGAAAGAGAAAGAAACCGGCGGACGATGCGGGTGGTATCGAGGAGCACCGCCTTCTGCATTTGAGCCTGGAGCGGTCCGCCACTTAGTCCCAGCCGCCTCAGATGACCCGAGAGGCTGACTGTGTAATGTCTACCAAAAATATCCTTGACTATGCCCGGTCCATCAGCACAATATCAGTCTTATTCGCAAGAATAGTCCTGTCTGTGATGATCCTGGCGCGATCATTTCCGAGCACGGCTTCCGGCAAGTACTTGTAATACGGCAATTTCCGATCCACGAGACCGTATTTCAGAGCGAGTTCCTGGTGAAGAATTCTGGCTACTAGGTTGTGCCTGTGCAAGTCAGAGTTAGAAAGCACCGAACAACCGGAGATGACATGCCTAAGTGACCACCGGGATGCGAAAGCTTGACAGATGTCGAAGGTGCCATCCTTAGGATGTATCTCCGATAGTTGTTGGTCTTAATAACCTGATCCTGTATTGCACAGACAAAATTTTTTTTGGTTGTCTCTTTGGTGATGGATGGAAACCCCCTCGGTTTCCCCGAAGAGATCACCAAAGCGTAGCTAGTGGAGGGAGGCTACTGTGTCTACGAAAGGCTCATGTAGAGTTTTGTAGAACCTCCCGTGGAGCTCCTTCTCCTTCCATACGTATTGGGGTATTGCCATTGCTCGTTGGCTAAGGATAGCGGGGTAAGTCCTATATCACAAGAAATGACGTCCTTATAGTATGGATTATCCGATTTCGCCAGAAAGTAATCACGGAGGCTGCACACTTCGCGATTATGCATGGTGAGCGCGCTCAAGAAGCCACGCCCACCATTATTTCGCGGCAAGTACAGCCTCATTACCGACGATCTCGGATGATGCATTCTATGGGACGTCATGGTAGTGCGGACTTTTCTATCCAGGGCGTTAAGTTCAGTCTGAGTCCACCTGAGTATGTCAAAGGTATACATGAGGACAGGCATGACCCAGCCGTTATACGCGTGTGCCTTATTCACACCGGACAAAAGGATGTTAAGCATTTTGGTCAAGCGTGCATAAAACACGTCGCAAACTGACTGTTTCATATCAGCCTCATCGATACCGATGTTCTGTGACACACACCAGGTATCGGTATGTTTAAGCCTCGGAAAGGGTTCTTTAGTTAACGGGCATAGATATGCCTATGCCCTCAGAGTTAGCAACCCTTCCCCTTTCAACAAGGAGGACCGCACACTTATCCGTCCCCAGCTCCATTCCAATGGCATTGCTAAATTCACAAGTGATGTTTAGCAATTCCATAAGACTGGAGGCGAATAACTTGAGGTTCCTTTCCGTAGCTGAAATCCCCTCCTGGAGCCCTCCAGTAAGGTATTGAGAGGGTTCAGAGAGAGGCAGAACCAGATTGGACTCAAACAATCGCCCTGGAAGATACCCCTTCTTATCCTTATGTGGTTTTTCGCAGCCATCATCCGCTCGAACAGATGACAAAGGATCGTACTTCACTGCCCCATACACTGCTCGAGGAAGTCTCTAACTGTACAGTCTATTTTGTACGGCTCGAGGACTCTCTTTAGCCATGTATGGGGCACCGAGTCGAATGCCTTTCTGTAGTCTATCCAGGCGGCGGAGAAGTTCCGACGGTTGCGTTTTACCACTTTGCCAATGACTGTGTCAATGAGGAGTGGTTCCTTGGTTCCACGACCACCGCCCCGACATCCATTTTGAGCGCGTGACATCACCTGATTTGAGTCCAGGTGAAGAGTGATTCTCGCGCTCAAAATGGATGTTAGTGTCTTGTATACGGTCGGTAGACACATGATGGGGTGGTATTTGCTCAGGTCTGTGGTACCCTTGTCTTTAGGAATCAAATAGGTGATTCCAGTAGTGAAGAGGCTCGGGAGCGACTTCCGATTGAGAGCCTCTTGAAACTTTTGGGCGAGCACAGTGTGACGCACGACGAACCCCTTCAGCCAGTAGTGATGCAGCCCGTCGAGTCCCGGACTTTTCCAGTTCGGGGCCCTACGGACCGCCTGAGCTACGTCATCCGGTGTTATAATGACGGGGTCCATTGGTGTTGTACTCGCACACTGACTCGCCACAATTTCTCTCCAAGGGCCCTCGTTGTGGTTTACGGGCTCTGACCACAGGCCGCGCCAGAATGCTACATTGTCGGCCTGATTCGGTGCTGGGCCCGTTTCACTTACCATTGGTCGCTCCAATGATTCATAGAGCCTCTTCTGATCACTCTGGAAGAGACGATTCTGGTTAAACTGTGTCGACCTCTCGGCATATCGCCGAATCCGCTTTCCCCAAGCAGCGATTCTCTGCTTCAGATCATCTATGCGCTCCGTCAGTTTTTGCGTTATATCCGGCTGGGACAAACTGACATTTTTCTAAGCAAACCCCATCCTGACGGTGCACACAATTCTTGGCCTGTTATTTCCTGATCTGAAGCATATCAGTCTGCCGACGAGAGCTCTAGCCTTTGCGATACGTTCCTCAATTCTTCTTCTTCATGCTGGGATAGCGCTACTTTGGCCAGTAGCGTGTCCAGCCGTGGAAACCTTGGCGCCTATGATACGGCAGACTGCCAGCGCGGCGCCAAAGAGAATTGAGTCCGTCTCACAAAGGTCCCGGCTGGCTTCCAAATACGTCACCAGCATTGGGTTCAGAGCCCTCACGACAGCCCGATTCCGCTTGCTTAGGGCTATGCGAGGAAGTCGCGGTCGAATTTCGAGAGGCGTACTGCGCGTTTCCACAATCGCCTCTTCGAATGTACTCCTCATATGCTCTAATTCCAGTTCCTGGGCGACTGTTCCATCATCGTTTGAATCAACCACAACTGGGTTATTCACGGCGGTATCCATTTGCGGGTTGCTCTACAATTTGTGGCGCCGAATCCCCAGCCGTAGCATTTTCATCCGATGAGGGAACAGCCTCACGTCGTAGCCGTTCGAGTTCGGCGACATCAAATATATTTGAGCACAAGATATACCGAACTCGGTCTGCCAGGTTTTGCTCTGTGACGGTTAAAGATGGCTCCAGCTTAGCAAAAAGACGATGCATCCTAGCCCGATACGCCAAACATCCAGTTTCTTCCCCTTTTGCCCCAAAGTACGCCCGCAGTGCGTTTGCGTTCATTACTTGTGACCAACGCATGCGACGTGCTCCACCAGCGGCGGGTGCCGTTTGCTGAGTCCGAGATGACCCAGCCGACACCAAGCCTTCTGGTGGGGATGATGGATGCGGAGGGCTGCTAGGTGACCGTGCAGCTCCTCGCGCTCGGCTGGCGGCCGGCATGTTGCCGCTTCCAGCGCCAGCTCCAGACACGCCCCGGCGACCCACAGGCAGCGGCCCTTTGCGCACTATCTTTTTATCCATCATCCATCATCATATTATTATTATTATTATTAAAAGGAAACTGAGCAAAATTGATTCGTCAGCCTATTTAAATGTTTTGAATCGCAGCGTATAGGAAAGCATGAAAATAGCCTATTTATTCCAAATGGAAATGGGATACTTTTTTAATTAAAGGAAACTGGGGCTATTTAGCGTCAGATTTTTTCAAAAGCCTTTTGAAAAGAAACTGAGCTAAATGGATTTGTCAGAGATGCAGTTTTCTGAATTGAAAGGAAACTGACCAAATAAAAGGTGTAAGTGCAGCCTTTTGAGTTGAAAGGAAACTGAGCTTAATAGGTACGTCAGAGGTGCAGCATTTGGAATTGAAAAGAAACTGAGCTAAATAGGAAATTTTGAATTGAAAGGGAGATCTGCAGGAATTCTGATTAATATTAATATACCTTACTATTTTAATTTAATGAATAAAAAGAATGTTAGACATAATAATGAAAATTGCAATATCATCAATGAGAGCTCTAAAAATTCTAAACCAAATAGAGGGTTAATAACTTATTATTTTCATTCTGTAAAATCTTATAAACAAGTACCACATGATTCCTTTAGTCCATAAAGAAAATCTTTAAATATGAAATTCACAATCTTACACCAAAATATAGCTGGCATTTGCTCCAAAAAGGATATTTTAGAATTAACATTAAAACATTTACATGAGGAGGAGCATACACGAATAGATGTATTATGCTTAACGGAAACATTTGTTAAAGCAAGTGATTATAATAATTATAATGTTTATGGTTACAAATTAGCTGGTTTCTATGGTCGTAAAAAAATAGAGGTGGTGTATGTATTTTGATAAAGGAAGATATAGAGTGGAATGAAATAATTTTTTTTTTTTAGATTTAACAGAATCCGAGCATTTTGAATGTTGTGGAATAGAAATTCCTTTACATAATATTTACATAATATGCATCTATAGGACACCTGGTTCAAATGTTAATATATTCTTTTTTTAAACTACAAAACTTATTGTCAAAATTAATAAATAATCACAATAAAAGAATTATTATTGCTGGAGACATTAACATTAATACCTTGGAAAATAGTAAAAATACCATTGAATTAAATGATATCATTTCGAATTATAATTTATATATACATATTAATGAACCAACGCGTGGAAACAACTGTATAGATCATATATTTAGTAATATAATGAATGCAACAACATGTATTAAAAAGTTATATTTATCTGATCATGAATCGGCGCAAATATTATCTATTGATGTACATAAACAGAGAAAAAAGTTAAATGATATTTGGGAGTATAAAAGGAATTATAATTTATATTACATTAATATGTTTCGTGAATGTATAAAAAAGCTTACTTTTAAGGAAGTTTTTGAGGACAAGGATATCAATTCTGCATACAATAAATTTATGGATCTTTTTATCTTATTTTATAATCTATGCTTTCCGATGATTAAGATAAAAAACTAGATATGAAATATAAAAATAAATGGATTACAAAAGGTTTGAGACTTAGTTGCTTAATGAAAAGGAAACTCACAATTGGTTATTATAAGAAAAAAGACTGACGAGAATAACAAAAATACAAAATATACAGCAAATTACTAAAAAAATGTATTGACGTGTCTAAAAGAATAAATTATTTTAAACGAATTAATACCAGTAAGAATAAAGGAAAATGTTCATGGAATATGATAAAATCAGAGGCAGTGTTAAAAGAGAATGACAACTATTTAAACATGATAAGCAAGAATAATGAATGTCTAAGATCTCCACAGAAGATTGCTAATGCTTTTAGTGAGTATTATGAAAGCCAGGCAAGGATAGTTAACCTTAAGCAAGTGAAAGAAACATACCTGTATAACACCAAAAGCCCGTGCAAAAGCATGTTTTTACGACCAATTACTCTGGAGGAGACAAAGTCATTAATAGTTAATTTAAAAAATTCTAAAAGTGAAGGTTATGATGGCGTAAATACAAAAGTAATTAAATATTGCAAGGATGAACTATCGCTTATACTTACATATTTGATAAATTTATCATTCGAAGTAGGTGCTTTTCCAGAGTCATTAAAACTATCTTTGATCAAGCCCTTATTTAAGCAAGGTGATAAAAAACATATTAACAACTATCTTCCAATAACAATTTTGTCAATTTTCTCAAAAATTTTTGAAAAAGCTATGCACAGTAGGCTTAGTCATTATTTTAATGAAAACAAGTTTATGAAAAAAGAACAGTATGGCTTTCAGCAAAACAAATCAACCACGATGGCGTGTTTTGATCTATTAAAAAGAATCACCGATGCAATAGATTATAAGGTAAATGTAACAAGTGTATTTTTCGATATTTCAAAAGCATTTGACTTTGTTTGCCATGACACCTTATTGCGTAAGCTAGAAAAGTATGGAATAAGAGGACTGACATTGCAGTGGATAAAGTCATACTTATCATCAAGAAAACAGTGTGTGGAAGTTATAAGCCCTAATAAAAATAATATTTTGACAAAATACAGATCACGACTAGTTCTTAAGTACGCTGAAGTTCCTCAGGCCTTTCTTTTTTGTTCGTAATTTATGTAAATGATTTACCGGATTCATAATGATTTCTTATATTTACGCGAACACTACACATGATTAAAACTACTTTTACGGATTTTATCGCGTTTATTTTTGCTTTTAATTACTTTTATTTTTAATTCCCGACGTTTCGGGCGCTTTCCAGCACCCATAGTCATCTCAGTCCCCCGACTGAGATGACTGACGTCCCGATGTCATTGTTAAACCCGGAGTACCTTCAGCTTTTTTAATTATTGTTTATGGTCCGATCTATGCAAAATGAACTGACTATGTCCTGAGGTCTTGCAGTGGTATGCTTGAGTTTAGTTTTAATTCTATTGATTATAGGATCCCAAGCAGGTGGTAGTACCCAGCCTCCTTCTCTATTGAAATTAGGATGTTTTTTAACTTCAATAGCCTCACGTATCATCCTTGGTAGGAATCGGTGTTCTTTCGCGAGGATTTGTGGTCTATCAAATCTGATGTAATGGTTGGGGCCGTCCAGGATATGATCACAAACTGCAACGTCGGGAATTAAAAATAAAAGTAATTAAAAGCAAAAATAAACGCGATAAAATCCGTAAAAGTAGTTTAATCATGTCTTACCGGATTCAACTCCATTCCCATGCATTTTATTTGCGGACGACATATCTTTAATCATAAAAAATAATAATGGAAATAAAGATAATTACGAAAATGACATAAAATGCGCAATAAATGATGTTTGTCTTCAAATTATTATTATGTAACATTTCATGGTTACATAATAATAATTTGAAGGTCAATATCGCCAAAACCTGTTATTTACAATTTTATAGTAATAGTAGAAAGAAACTAGATCTTGACATAAGATATAATAATGACAAAGTGCAGGAAAACGAACAGAAGAAATTTCTGGGAATAAAATTAGATAGTAATTGTAATTGGATGGCTCGTATTGACGAAATTTGTAATAAAATTAATAGATTTGTATATGTTTTAAATAGGTTAAGAAGAGAGACATCGTCAAGTCAAACCGCACTCATTGCATATCATGGATATGTTGCAACAATATTAAGATATGGATTGTTAATTTGGGGTAATAGCTCTTATTCAAAAAGAGCTTTTATAGCTAAAAAAAGTGTGTTAAGAGCCTTAACTGGGGCCAAATGGTATCGGTTTAAAGATCTTTATTTCTCAATAAGACAATAGTCACTTACATGAGAACAATAACTATATGAACTTAGTAATAACAATTTTTAGTGCGGGTATAAATAACTTTGTTGGATGTCGCTTTTAAGAAGCGAATATCTTTGTTGTTTATTCAAACTATAAGGTGGTGGTCCAAATTTTAATAATGTTTTTTATTTTTATTTAATAATGATTAAGGTTAGGTATTTAGCTGTTGTGAATATAGGTAGCCAAGTAACTTCTGTTTGAAAACATTCAAAGATTTCGCCTGCTTTACAAATTCAGGTAGTTTGTTGTATAACTGTGCTCCTTTATACGTTATATTATTTTTACCATAGTTTGTTCTTATAGGCGGCAATACAAGGTGACTAGCTCGGCGTTTTACGTATTTGTTTGTTTGCTCTTTTTGTTAAAAACGTGAGTTGTGTGTGGATTAATTTATGTTTTATTTTATATATTAGTATGCATGTGCTATATGTATAAAGTTGAGTAACGTTAAACAGTTTAGTTTCCTTATATATTGTATTAGTTGGTGTTAATAAGTTTTGTAGCACTTGGAGAGGTTTAAGATTGGTTTTGGCTGCATTACCCCATACCTCTACAAGGTAAATAAGTGAGGTTTTACTAGATATATTAGGATTCGGGCTTTTTTTCGGAATACATCGAACTATTTTGTGAAGGCGGCCAACGAGAGACGAAAGTTTGTTTTTAATATGCGTGAGATGTGCATTCCAAGTCAAATTACTGTCGAGAATCAGTCCAAGGTATTTTTCTTGATTTTTTATTTGTAACGTTTCTCCGTTTATAGTCAAAGTAAGGTGGTTTTGGTTAGGGAGTTTCTTGTTCTTGGCGCTGAAAATTATATATGAGGTCTTGGCTACATTAATAGTTAGGAGATTATACTGAAACCATTGATGGAGTAAGTTTAAATCTTCTTGAGCTAGTGTTATGATACGAGATATATTGTTTCCAAAGTAGACAAAACACATATCATCTGCGTAAAGGGATATTTGACCTTGTAAACCTGCTTGGTTTATGTTGTTGATATACACTAGGAATAGCAATGGACCGAGGATAGAACCCTGAGGCACGCCACACGTTAAGAGTTTGGGTTTACTTTGAATGGATCCAATTTTCACTACTTGGTAACGGTTGCTCAAGTATGATGCCATCATTTTGTATACTTTTCCAGTGACGCCAATATTTTGTAGTTTTTTTAAGAGCAAATTATGGCTAACTGTGTGGAAAGCATTTTTTAGGTCCACAAAT